AATGACCTTGCCCTCCATGAGTTCTCGTAGCTCAGTGGATAGAGCGCCCGCCCGGTGTTCGGGAGGTCATGGGTTCGATTTCTGTCGGGGACTCAGAATGTTTCTTTGTCCCACGCTCGTGTCATGTTGATTAATTCACCTTCACATTTCATTACCGAGCTTAAAATTCACCATCATAAATAACTTATCAACACATTTAGCAATTTATCCACGTGGGAAAGCCTGTCGGCGTATGCTTGGTGATCATTTGTTGGTGTGTGAAGCTAAGACCAACAAAAAGAAAAAAACATAACCACTAATAGACAGGAAATTCAATTCGATAGGTTGTTACACAACATGGCTGCCCACCCGTTGGCACATTTGCGTAATTAAGGGACCCAAATATCAATCAAACTGAAATGACCAATCGTAGCACCGTATCACCACCAACAAATTCTACTTTAATTTGATCAGCATACGCCATTCGTTTAAATCTTGTTAGCAATGGAAGCCAAACGCGCTCTGTTATTTTTCCTCTTTCAAGGGACTATATTCAGCACGATTTTCGCTGCCGATGAAGATTCCACATCTCATTCAGGGTACTTCATAACACGGGGAAATAAGCGGCTTACAGGACACGTTGTAAAACAGTTTGAGTCTTCAAGTTTAATGTCTTGCAGCCAGTCGTGTTTGAGAAACGCATGGTGCAGTTCCACAAACTTCAAGGTGTCTTCCAAGAAGGAAGGCAAAGGAACGTGTGAACTCAACAAGCACGATAACACGCTGTTCAACGAAAACACCGAGTTAAATGTTCAGCAGGGGGTTACATTCTCAGTGCTTCTGAAGGTAAGATACGTAATACTTAAAAGCTATTGTTTACCAAAACTGTCAGTTTATCAGTTTTATTTGCAAATTATGCCCCAAAAATGACAGTGTGGTAGTTGATAAGCGTCAAAAATAGGTAAACAAACCACCCTAGTTTAATGTGCACGCTTAGTGACTTTATATTCCGTCTTTTTGTAAATATGGAGAATCCCACGACAGGAAAAGTACTGAAGACCCTTTTGTCTTTCAGGAATATTGCTTAAAAGTTCCAATGAGTTCAGAGTTTTATGGAATCTAGGAAAGTTCCAAATCAGTCAAGATGGCCGATGGAATTAATGCCAAACAGAGAATTTTCAACTGTTTACAGAAAGTCATACACTTGCTTGTTATAATTTTTTTTCGCAGTTTGTTATCTAGGACTTGACCACTTCTTCTAGCTTAACATCATCTTGAAGTAAACACTGGCACGATTTTTTTACCTTTTGACCGTTTAGAAAGATTCTGACAATGCCATGTTTTTGCTGATTTTGATAGGGTCATAACTCCTTTAGTATAAGTATATCTTGATAAAAAAATATATATATATCACTAGGTGGAATTAAAGCACGCCAGACGAATTACTAGGAATGGCATTTTAACCAATATCGCCAACGTATGTTAAAGCACAAATTACTCTTGAGCATCATGTATGTAACGATTTAAATCATACTTCAGAATTGGCCCTAGTTGCTGATGGCAAAGTTCTCCTCAAATGTTAGCCAATAAATTAAGTACAAATGGTAGATCTGCATTCAAAATTAGACCAGCTTTGGTGGATAAATCGGAAAAAACTCATCATTACTTCTTTCCTGGTTTACATCCTGTTATTAATTTTCTGTTTTCTGATAAAATAGCGAAAGAAAATTCAAACCGAAACGATGTTTCTTTTTGCACGGAGCGGTGGCGTTTGCGTTTGAGAACTCGAATACAATATGCAAATTAGCTTCGCACAGCTTCAGCAGTTCGTAGTTTTAAACCTGTACATTTGGACTATTCGTCCTCCGTTTTTCTTTAATACACAGCAAGCAAAATAACCATCAAAGAAGTAGCAAAAGTGTTTCGGTCTTATCTGCCTTATTATATTTTACAGAGAAAATTACCTCATTAATTTTTAACTTGTAATGCAGTGCAAAATGAACGCTAACACGTTTGTAATTTTCTCAGTCATAGAATAAAAGGTTAATCCTGTGAAAGCTAGTTGTAATATTTATAAGGCTGGTGCAATTTTGAGAGAAGTTTCAAATATCAGTCGTAGCGCAAATCCTTAATTGCATTTGCATTCATTCGAGAATACAAACTTTTAATTTTGGGAAACAACCATTAATTCTCGACAAGATGGCCCGACATATGTCAAATCGTCTTAGCGCGTCAATTTACCAAGGACTGCGCGATCAATAACCAAATATCCAACATCAACAGAACTAACATTTAGTAGCTCATGCAGATTCTCAACCTAAATTTAAAAACGATCTTTAAAATTGATCTTTGGTTATCAAACGTATCTTTACGATCGAATGTATTATTTAGGATCCATGACAAAGACACTAACTAATGAGATTTCAGAATTATGCAAAACAGGACAAAATACAAAATAAAAATTGCATATAAGATGATCGGTTGACACTTCACGATAGTGTGGAAATTTTTAGTTTTGCAATGAAGTTCTTAGCCATCCGGCACGATAATATTTTATCCAAGTGCACGTGTTTATTCATTTTTTGCCGATGATTGAGAAAATGCACAGGAGACAATCATAGATTTTATTATTAATTAAAAGCTACGAAAACGATGATTTGATAAAAAAGTGGCCAATGGTTAAACGGTTTTTGGCATGTGTGTTACATTAAAATAACAAAAAGGTAAAATAATAATAATAATAACAATAATAATAAAAATGACGATTTGAAATTACGAGCACGATTACTCCCTAAATTGTACGACACAAGGCCCAGTTACTAATTAATCGTATCGATAACAAATTTCGGAATTAAAAATGTCTTTTAAGAACTTCTTTTGAGCGAAAACGTCTGTAGCGCTTTTCATAGATTTTACAAACTGTACGAAACATTGCGAAGGAAACCATTAAAGCGCGCGTAATTGACGTGCGAATAACGTGGGTATCCAATTACAGGTACCCAATTACAAAAAGTTCAAATTGGATACTGTAATTGGACACCCACGTGATCGCGCGCCAATTACGTGACAAATAAGCTCGCAGAGAACCAATCACGATCGAGAATTTTGTTATAGGTACGATTATCATCATCATCATCATCATCATCATCATTATTATTATTATTATTATTATTATTATGTCACATGCGCGATAGCTTTTTTTGGGGGGTGATATTTGATCAAAGCCACTAAGAAGAAAAAAGTGTGAGCTTAAGTCACGCACAAACCAGTTCAGTAAAAGGTAGAAACTGTTTCTCTAATTAGTGCCTTAAAAGTTCAGTAGCTTTGAAGTTTCTCTCTTTTTCTTTTAGGAATCAAAGTGTAGTGAAATTGAAATTTAAGTTAGCCTTAAGTACCGAACTAGAAAGAGAACCTCTTTCAGCATAAGAGCCTATAGATACATTAGGGAAAAGCTGTTAAGAACAGTTGTTTAAAAAAAAAAATACTTAATACAGTTACTAATTCTTGGTATAAAATGGGTTGTAGTGGAGAAAAATTGCAAGATAGGACAATGAAAATGGGGTCATTTTGTCCCTGCTCCATGGCGCACAAATGCAGACCAGCCGATCTTCATGCAATAGACCGTTTTGGCAAAAACGGGCATGTCACACGAGGAAACATCCCTGCAATATGTCCCCGCTTCTTGCCCCCACAACATGCACCGACGTGACGATCTTAGACTAGCCGATCAAAGGATAGCATGATTTGTTTGCTTGAATAACATAGCTCAGTATCAAGAAAAATCAGGGGTGGGGGAAGGGGGGACTCATAGACACACCAGCGCTTTACGTGACCGCCTAAGGAATGAATTTAAGCCTCCTTGTTTAATTAAACGTCAAGAAATTTCCATATTTGTTTTTTCTATCAGGGCTGTTTAATGACAGGCTGTGCAAAGGGTGGTTCTTGTGTGTCCAACGAGGAGCAACAAACCTATTCGTGTGTGTGCAAAAAGCCATGGACTGGAGAAAAGTGTGAAGTTGAAATGGGTAAGTAACGGTATTACTGTGTACGAAAGCGTGATAAGCTGTGTGTAATGTCTTGCGATTTTACCGAGTTAATTAAATGTAGATGTAGATATTAAATGGCCGTCCATTTGCAAGCTAAAATTTATAATGGTTCTAGCAGTGGACAAATATGGATTTACTAAGCTAATCTGATGCATTTTTAGCACTCTGCGCAAAGTAGGTACAAAACGTCAGTTTTAATATCGTCTGTGGAACAGCTGTAAATGCTAAGTAAAACATTAAGAGTACTTTTTTTTCACTTTTTTTGCCATGAATGGCAAAACTGTGCCAAATTTGATATTTGTCTGGCTGCAAATTTGAACAAATCGGAATAACTGTGGGTTTGTCGAGGTTTGCTGTATATTTCCTATAATGGAAAATAAGTTTTTTCGTGCAGAGTACGACTAAGTGGATTCCAATTGGGTCTGTAATCATACGAGTGGTTAACAAATCGGACGATCGTGTAGCAGGAAGTCAATTTTGTCAAGATTTACCTTAAAATCAAAGGAATTTTGACAGGATTATAGGTCGTTAGCTGGTAAGAAAACAACACAGAGACAATAAAAAAATCTAAAGAGCACAACTGTGGATAGACAAGAGAAGATGGTGTCGGTTTATCAAATGGACAAATTTAGGTACATTTTTATAGGCCCTCAGATTCGAATCTCATCCCTCATGGTACCCCGCAGAACACCTAAGGCCATTTAGATTAGATTCAGAAAGGGCTCCCGAAAATCCATGCTTGGGAGGGAAACAGCAGGTTTGAGGGTTACATGATAATTGTGTCTAAAACATGATCAAATCAAAACCTTCCAAAACAATATTCAGGCGCTGGAGTAAGAGGGTTCCTTTAAAATATGGGACTTACTACAGGAAATTTAAACGGAGTAAAGTCGATAATTCACAACTGGACAAACATGGGCGTTAGAATACGCTAGTCATTAGGGAAAATTTTACCCTGCCAACAAAAAGGTTCACAGGCGACTGTTTCAAATTAATTTTTTGGGAAAGCCTTCAGATATGTTGCTTGGAAGTATTTTGTAAGTCCCCGTACGGCACCTTCCTTCCTTTTACACGGTATGATCAACATTTAACGACTAAAAAAATATATTTAACGGCTTCTCTATTCCTAAACCTTAAATTGATCATCGATCCTTTGCTTTGAATAGAAACGCCTAAATGCGCTGGTAATCCTTGTAAAAACTATGGAAGCTGCATCGAGGGAGAGAATGGATACAACTGCACTTGCGCGCCGGGATTTAGCGGGACACACTGTAAAATAGGTGACACATATCGATGCTCATTGTAAACTAATTTGAACTGTTTAGAGAATCTCTTTAAATCCCTTTAAGAGGGTAAGAACTTACACTCAAATTTGCTAGTTTTGTAGACAGAGCGTGGGAGGGTCAACTGTGAAAAGAATAAATAAATAAATAAATAAATAAAATCAAAGAAAAAACACAACATCAAGAAACTAGAGTCTCAACATGTTCATCATATCTTGAACAGACATTGATGACTGTGCAAGTAAGCCGTGTAAGAACAACGCGACCTGCACTGACCGAGTGAATGGATACAACTGCAGCTGCGCGCCAGGTTTTAATGGGACACAGTGTGAATTAGAAGTTGGGATGCCGTGTGTAAAAGGTCTGTGCTAACGAAATTTTGTATCGATTATCTGAAAATTGAATACGTTCTCCATTGAATGTGGCGAGAGATGAAATAACCGTCCAACGTTTTGAAAAGAATGTAGAAGCTTGGCTATTAATCTATTTAATGGAAGACATGGAAGAGATTTTCAGGTTATCAAGAGGTTTCAGTGCACACGTACACTGTTTCTGATCTGTTTCATTTAGGTTTAACCTAACTGATCCAGTTCAGTGAAACTGTGATTAAAAACTAATCACGTTCATATGGATCGTTTATCCACAGCATACCGACTGATATTTCCAAGGAAAACCGTTGAGAATTACGCCATCAAAGGAAATGCAGTTGGATCCAACCTCACCGCATTCACATTATGCTTTTTCGTTAAGCCGAACTACACGGCCCCATATGGTGCGCAGTGCTTGTACAGCTATGCAACCCCTGGAGTTGACAATGCAATATACGTTTGCCTTACTGATCCGAAAATCGACCTCCATGTTGGAAATG